ACTGGCCGAAATAAAATTTTATAGTACCCTGATGATGACAATAGATTATAGTCGAAATATCGGTTCAAATAAAATCTTTTAAAAATATTTATCGACAATTTATCGATGTATACATATGTGAATTTATGTATATATATGTCAAATAGGGATCGAATTCGTCTTTTCATTCTTAAGAAACCACACCGGGAATGCATTACAGCAACCAAGAAGAAATTGTATAAAATGGAAGGCCTCTCTGATGACACAAAAATCCGATTATAAAAAATGTTTCAAGTATTGGATTATATCCTTATATAAGTGGATTTCAGTTAATGAAAGGTACTTTAAACAGAATAATATCGACTACCAAAAAAAACTTGTATTTGAATTTTCTGAGATAATTATTGAAAATTTTTTGAGGAAGAGGTTTGTAATGATTTCAGTTAATGAAAGGTACTTTAAACAGAATAATATCGACTACCAAAAAAAACTTGTATTTGAATTTTCTGAGATAATTATTGAAAATTTTTGATAAAGGTTGTATGTTTATCCAATACTAGATATGTTGAACTCTTAGTTCTTGTTATCACGAAAGAAAATATTGATTAGGACTTCTTTTAAATTTAGTCATTTAATTTCTCTATAAAAAGAAATTAAGCTTCGATAGAGGTAAAGTTAACTTTTTTATCTAAATAATTAATATATATTCTTGTACTTATATGGTACTTATATGTACTTATATTTTTCGACGTTGAATGTGTACTGATTACAATCTATATACAAATCAACGTAACTCCTGTGGTACCACAATGGGCCATTATTTGTGCTTAAGTGGGCTTTTTGGGATACAAGACCGCCACTCCAACCCAACCCCATGGTATTAAAATGAAGTTGAAATTATATGTCAAGTTATCAGAAACAGCACGTGTCTAGTAATATACTAAAAATCTATTTCAAACCTTTTTTATAATTAGTCTATAAGTTTCCTGAGTTTATATAATGAGACATATTTTGATTTTATGTGGCTATCAGAGGTGTATACATAACTGAATTTAATATGGGGTTTTGGAAAACTGTTTCATTATATTTAATATAAAATGATCCGATATATTGTAGACGAGGTGAGAATCTCATATCTTCGCATGTATACTATGAGTATGATAAAAAAATAAGTAATACTGCAATTTAGCAAAATGATTATATATTTAATATTACGAATTTATTAGCTCACTATGTAACATTTCGGTTTTCACAAATTTTAACTACAAAAAACTTTTAATAATTTACCATCATCAACATTTTAAACGAAAAGATAAAAGTAAAACAGAATCCTTGGAATGTAAATTAAACTTTTATTTTATTCCATAAATTGAAGTGATGTACTACAAGATAACGATTCACAAAAGACTGGTGCTGCGGTCAAAGTACCTTATCTCGTATGAATTATAAAAAAGCAGGATAAAAATTAAAGTATTTCTCAACTTAAAAAGCTTTTTTGATGCCAGTGCAGAATTAATGTACACATAAATATCACAGTGCTGTCAGATTAAATACCACATAAAAAATTACAATTTTTTCTTACATATTTACAAGTTCTTCACAGAAATACTCGTGTTTTTAATATGAAATAAACATATTTTTATGCTTTAACAGAAAATGAATCGTTTTTCAAAAGGTAATAATAATAAAAGAAAATGGAAAAGGTGTAAGATGAAAATAACTTCGTTAGAGTGATGTGAGCGGCTCTGGAATCAGAAATACATATGTCATAGCAGTCTATATTACATAGAAGACTTAACAACTTGTAGGGGAAATATCTAATAACAAGGAATTAAAAATGTAGTCTACCTGGAATAAATTACAATATAAACCTCAAAGGTGACCTAACCTCATTAAGTTAAGATATTATGGAAGAGAAAATTTAATAAATTAATATTAAATTTATTTAATATATAATAATTAATTTAATATTATTAATTTTCAATTATTTTAGTATTTAGATGTTGCTAAAATTAAATTCCTTTATTAAAAAATCATGTTTTTTCATATAAATATAAAAAATAAAAATATAAAAAATTATATAAATCAAAAAAGCTGGTGGTGCAATTATTCTCCACTGCTCTTACTTTAGTTTTCCAACCAAAAATTTTTTAAAGCAAGGTTAAGTGCATAATTTTTAGCATTATATTCTTAACCAATTTCTCAGGACCTCATTATATTACTGCTGGTTTTACCTTTATAGCACAATGAGTAAAATGAGTAAAAGGAAAAGTTGTGCGCTGCCTCAAGAGCTCTTCACAGGAAACCATTTCACAAATTCTATTTATGCGGTTCAAGAACGTGTAGGTGGTAGCGGTAAAAGCGCATGTGATGGATGCTATGAGTTAAAAAAAATGAACTTAAAAGAACAATGGAAATAAAAATAAAATATTTTTTAAAAAAATTTAAAATTTAAAATTTCAATCTGTAATGCATTTAATTGTTTATTCAAAGAAATAGTAAAGCGAACTTTTAGGTGTGCTGGATTTTATTTGAAAAAGTCTATATTATTTTTTAAATGGCAAATTCTTGCTTATGCTTTGTATTTATAATATAGTTAATTAATATGATCCATATGTCGTTGTGCTTTGATTGAATAATAGTGGATTTACACTAGAGCTTTGTTTCTAATTTTAGCTGTCAAAAATGTCAAACTGAAATCAAAGAGCAAAAATATTAATTCACATGTCAAACCATTGCTAGAGTTATAATATGTGCATAATGATATGTATGGAATATATGATATATAACAGTTTTGTTTCATTTTATATGAAAATTTCATTCATTCCCTAAAACTATTTACAATAGCATACTTTCTGCTCAAAAAGTACTCAAATTTTGTAAATAAAATACATAAATTTAAATTTTATTCCAAATTTATATTATCTCCTTCAAAATATGCTCCTTCTGAAGCGATACATATATGCCAACGCTTAATCCAATCTTCCATACACTTTTCGTAGGCCCATGAAGGTATAGCTTTTAGTTCCTTCAGCGAATTCTCTTTTACCAACTCAATCGACTCAAAACGCTTACCACGAAGGCACAATCTGAGTTTCGGGAACAGGAAAAAGTCGCACGGATCCAGGTTTGGCGAATATGGTGCTGTGCGATGACAGTGGTGTCGTGTTTGGTCAAAAAATCGCGCACAACAAGAACTTTCCATAGTAAAAATCGCTAAATACACTTGAGGTAGTCTCACATTAACAGCTGCTGTAAACAAACTAATTGACAGATGCGCTCAAATTTGTACCATATGTCAAGAAAGTGTGTACCAATATAACAAAAAAAAAGTTTTTGAAAAAGGTCTATTACTTAAGGAGTAGTTAACAAACAACAAAATCCGGGTACTTTTTGAGCAAAAGGTAAGTTTGTATCACACAGTACTGTACTACACACAGTACTGTGAACTGGCGAAATTAAAATCAAATTTATTGTAATTTGTAAAAATTTCCATAGATATCTTTCTGATAAGACCTTGTACTGTTGTCGAAATCAAGAATAATTTGAAATGATAGCTAAAATTACAAACAAAACTCTCGTGTGAATCCAGTATAAGATTATTTATAATTTATTAGGATGACTG